TTGATGAACATCTTTTTGAACATTAATTTGAGTTAATTTTACATATATCTCTTCCTTTTCAGGTATTACACCACTGTGTCTCACTGTTCAAAAAGAACTTGTAAGTGGTGTTCAGATGCTTTTGGACAGAGGTGCTAATGTTAATGCTGAAACTCGGTATGGCACAACTCCGCTGCATCATGCGATTAAATTTGAGAATATGAAAATTGCTGAATTACTATTAGATCATGGAGCTAACGTTAATGCCAGTGATAAGTCAGGTACACCACTGTGTTGTGCTGTTGAAAAAAAAAATGTAGAAGTTGTTGCAATGTTGTTAGACAGAGGTGCTAACATTAATGCTATATCACATAACGATTATTGTGACTTTTTTAGTCGCAATTATTGTGAAGAAATTGCTGAGTGTCTTAAACAGCATATAGTGAAGATAAAAGCTGCAAATTTATCCGTAAGTGAACAATTATTATCAATGATCAGGAATTATGAAATAAGTGATTTACAGAATAAATGTGAAAAAGAAGTAGCAATCATGAAGAATGAGAAAATTAGTAATACTAACATATCATTTTACGATATCGTGATAAAAGATACAAATCTAGTAGAAATATATATGAGAAATGAAAATGTAGTGCAGGTTTTAAGATCAGACGAGTATAAAACAAAATTTCCAATATACTCTAGCATGATAAAAAATCAGTTCAGAAAAGGTATGAAAAAGAAAGAGTTGTTCGAAGAAGGCATTAAAAGTTTCTATTTTTTCTGTAATTTTCCTGATCTACCACTTGAGTGTATTGGACAAATATTTAGGTACCTAAGTGATAATGACATAAGAATTTTAATAGATACTTGTAAGTCTGTTAGTTTCAGTAATCTTAGTACTGATAGTAATGACGTAGAAGTTACTTCAAGTACATCTAACGTGCTATGTGTGTAAGTTAAGGAAGAACGAACTATTTTAAACATGACATAACAGCTATAAAAACTTAAAAATTATTGCTGTATTTTAAATACAGATTACTATCTTATTTTGAAATTATTTTTTTTTTAAGATTTTATTTTATTCTATTTTTTTGAAAGTGTTTTTTTACGTTTACATTCTCTTGGATGTGTTTTTTTTTTATAGTGGATTCAAGGAAAACTAGACTGTTTTATATCTTCCACTTTTTCATTCTTTGTGTCAGATTTTATAACATTTGTATAACGCAAATTTTATATACATTAATCCGATGATACTTTTTTATTGCACAGAGTGTAACACGTGTAATTGCTTTTATTAATTTGAAAAATAAAATTAGGTTGGAAAGCTTTGAATTAATCTTTGTTTTTATCACAGATGTATGTATTTTCCTTATTCCTTATATATATATATATAAGAATTATGAAGTATAGTTTAAAAAGGTAGAAGAAACTCACTTATATAGACATTTGGTACTTACAATTTTTTTTATTTATAATTTAAAAATACTATATTTTTATGTACAAATTGCACCAAAAGTTTTTATATTCTCATAAAATATATGAAGTAAACAGAGAAATAATATAAATTATAACATAGTTAAGAGAAAGGATTTAATAAATAATGTTTGTATACAAAGTGAATATAAATAGATGATAGAAAACTAAGAATGAAAAGGCCAATCCGAGCCATTCCCAGGATGTTGTGCAGGAATAAGCGTGCATGTAAATATATATATACACATGTATGAAATTCACATGTAAATTATTTTACATGTGGGTTTTTTGAATTGAAATTTCAATTCCTAAAATCATATAGGATGCTAGATTTGCATCTCATATATGAAAGATCCCAAATACCCCCCTAACTAATTTGAAAATATTGCGAAAAAAACTCCACGGCCAGGAGTCAAACCTGGAATCTCCGGCTTTCCGTGCCATCGCCTTCCCTGTTAGGCAACTGAGGCACTTGGAGTTTGTCTCGCAATATCCGTATATAAATCGATGTTCTGATAATTTTAAATAACGCTTCATTTCAGCCGGCGTGAAATCAAACGAATGAATAGTCAAGGCTCGTGAAATTTGAAACTAAGAATGAAAAGGCCAATCCGAGCCATTCCCAGGATGTTGTGCAGGAATAAGCGTGCATGTATATATGTATATACACATGTATGAAATTCACATGTAAATTATTCTACATGTGAGTTTTTTGAATTGAAATTTCAATTCATAAAATTATATAGGATGCTAGATTTGCATCTCATATATGAAAGATCCCAAAGGTTCGACTCCTGGCCGAGGAGTTTTTTTCGCAATATTTTCAAATTAGTTAGGGGAGTATTTGGGATCTTTCATATATGAGATGCAAATCTAGCATCCTATATGATTTTATGAATTGAAATTTCAATTCAAAAAACCCACATGTAAAATAATTTACATGTGAATTTCATACATGTGTATATATATATACATGCACGCTTATTCCTGCACAACATCCTGGAAATGGCTCGGATTGGCCTTTTCATTCTTAGTTTCAATTTTCACGAGCCTTGACTATTCATTCGTTAGATGATAGAAAGTTTGTAATTCTGATTGTGTATTCTTACATATTACAAATGAAAGACTACATATATATAGTTACTTATGTATATAAGGAGAACATAGAAAAACAGATTTATTTTATGATAATAATGTTTAATATAAGGGATTTAAAGTATGCAGAAAACAAATTTATAAAGATAATATATATAATATCTATATAAAAAAGACCATACTTCTGACAGAAATTGTTATATTTATCTTTTTCTTATGTTTACAGTTTATCTATTTATATAACAGTATTGTAATGTACCATGTATTGTAAGTCTACCATTTTGCAATAAACCGCTTTTATATATCAAGATGTACATTTCCTCTTTTCATATATATTCTCTATATATTTGTATATATATGTAGATTCAAATTATATAAAATATTAATATATATAGATATATATTTGCAAGTTCTTTCACATTAATCTTTTTTCTTTTGTAAGTACTTTGATTGAGATCTATGAGAACAATGTCAGGTAATCATTTTTTCTTTATTATTTCTCTATTAATACTCTACAAAATTCGAAATTGAACTATAAGTTTTATTAAATGTTTTTTCTTTTTAATTCACAAATGATTCGTTCCGTGGTTTTCATTGTAACATTTTCTATTTACAATTGAGATATCATGGGATAAATAACGTGGAAAAATAAATGATAATTAATTATTAGATAAACTGTCCGATATTTTATCTGAAAGTGAAACAACTTCGATCCTATATATCATGAGAAAGCGCATTTCTTGTTATCATACGCGACAAATCTGTACCGACTTGTATACCAACGTGTACATAGCACGAAATAGAACCATGTCCACCGCACATAGCACGGAATAAAACCATGTCCATGCGTGGACATAGCCATACGTATCGACAAGTCGCTCGTTGACATCGCTACGTAGTTGCCAATGTGCACCATTTATGGACATGCGCTAGCTTACGGGCCGGTATAGGGATCGTAAAAACTTGTATGGGCCTGGCCACTCTCATTCTTCTCTCTGGAGAAACAAAGACAGAATGACTCTTGTGTCGACTGTGTCTCCTAAAAGGAAAGCACATATATGTAATACTCTTATATTGCTAGTACGGTGCCGACCTGAAGCTCACCGTTACGGTGCAGACAATATAGTAGCCTCTCTCTCTAGCTGCTTTGTGCGCATGCGGTGAACATTCAAGCACGCTTGCGCATTTCTCTTTCTCGCGTTCTTTCTCTCACTTTCTAATGCTTTGTCTCGCTCGCACTCACTTGGTAGATGCGCCTACGCATAATGACGCTCGACCATCTATGCCCATATTTGGACTTTGTGCGTCTCCCTTTCTCAGGCCTCGTGCCTCTCATTGCGAAGATACGCGACTAGCAATATAGGAGTATTACATATATGGGAAAGCAGCCTTTATATAGAATGGCGTATGGACTAGCTTTAACCGGTCCGCTGAGCCAATGGGTGCGTTCAGACAACTCGACAGTTGGACAACAGTTGAGAGATAATCACTTCTGATTGGATCATAATTTTTGAACCGCTGCAGATTTTGAAGAATAGTCCTATTATAAGTGATGATCTCTCAACCGATGAGTTGTCTGGACGCACCTAAAGAGCCGTCTACAATGGAGAGTTGTAGGCCGTAATAGTAAGAAATTGACCAATCACAGAAATAGTACAGAAGAATAATCGATTGTGATTTGTCAATTTCTTACTGTTACAGCCTACAATTCTCCATTGTAGACGGCTCTTAATATTGCACTAAACCAACCAAACCTTCGCGTTTCTATGTACATCTTTCTCGTTGCTAAGGAAATTTTGACAGGTGTTTGTATCAAATGTAACATAATTTTGACAATTTATCTCAAACTTACTCTCTTGCAATAAAATACTTCACTTTTTCTATTACAATGCGCGATAATATAAAATAAAATTTGTTATTTTAAAAAGAGTGTGTCTTGATTTTTACGTACATTATATACATATACTTATATATAACTTACATATATATAACTTTGTGCTTATGTGTTTCACTGTAAAAGTTATAAAATAAATAGATATACAAATAGGAAATTGAAAATTTATTATAAGATATTCTTTATTTTTTCAGAATTTCTATGGGGCTTGTACAATTCTGTAAAAAACATACAGAGAGTAAGTTAAGCCAACAATGTTTGTATATTTGAGCAAGAAGATATCTATACCAAACAACTTTCGATTAAACTGCATAGCATGGAATCAGAAAGATGGGTACATTGCTGTAGGAGGGGAAGATGGTCTCTTGAAGGTGCTAAGAGTGGATTCCAGTGTAAATATATCACACAGTGGTGGAAAATCTCGAGGTTTAGCTGCAGCAAGTAATTTGAGCATGAATCAACCTCTAGAAGGTCATAATGGTCATGTTCAAGTAGTTACATGGAATGAAGAGTATCAGAAGTTAACTTCAAGTGATCAAAATGGAGTCATAATTGTTTGGATGCTATACAAAGGATCATGGTATGAAGAAATGATTAACAATCGTAATAAATCTGTGGTAAGAGGCATGGCATGGAGCTGTGATGGTCAAAAAATATGCATTGTCTATGAAGACGGAGCTGTAATTGTTGGTTCTGTTGATGGCAACAGAATCTGGGGTAAAGAATTAAAGAATGTGTCTTTGTCTGCTGTGCAATGGTCTCCAGATGGAAAGTTGCTTTTATTTGGTTTGAAAAATGGAGAGCTTCATCTTTATGATAATCAAGGTGTATTTCTAACAAAACTGACTGTACTTTCATTGAATACTACTACATTTCAAACAATAGTTGCACTACAGTGGTACAATGGAAGAAATGGTTACGTTGCTGTAGACTGTCCTACTCTAGCAATTTGTTACCGCAATGGCAAGATACAACTAATGCGAGATACAAGTGATGACAATCCGGTAGTATTGGAGACAGGTGTGACTACTTCATGGTGCAGTTGGAACAGTTGTGGATCTCTCTTGGCTATAACTGGCATGATGCCTCTGCTCAATAATGGAGAGACAAAAGATATGAATGTTATTCAGTTTTACACACCATTTGGAGAGCATGTGAGAACCTTGAAAATACCAGGCAGAGAAGTAACATGTTGCGCCTGGGAAAAAGGCTCTCTCAGAGTCGCTCTATCTGTTGACTCTCACATATACTTTGCAAACATTCGCCTGGACTACAAATGGACCTACTTTAGCAACACAGTTGTCTTTACGAACGAGAAAATTACGAAAGACGGTATCTGTGTAATGTTCTGGAACGTAAGTAACAGCACATGTTGTACGAAATATGTGAGATCGTTGATATCAATAACCTCTTATGGAGAACACTGCGTGCTTTCTGTGAGAAATGATCCTGCTCAAGCCACCGAGCAATTTGCTCTTCTCGTCTGCAATACCATTGCTACACCAATAGATTCCAAATTCCTGGATCTGGAACCGCTGTACGTCGGTATGACAGCCAACATGGTCGTAGCTGCGTCCAAGAACAATTTTCTGGTGTGGAACTTTCGTACGCCTCGCAATTCAACGTTGCATTCCGGCAGAATGCGCAAATACAGGGTCTATCATGTGGACGAGACACCAACCGGCGTAACGGAAGTTATTCAAGACCTGGACGGCTCTTTCGAGACTCCTATTAACACTAAGGCCACCATGGATCCGATTTGTTGTGTATCGGTCACCGAAAAAGTTCTTCTGATCGGCAGAGAGTCAGGAATGATTCAGAGATATTCTCTGCCACAGATAACGCTCATGAACAGATACAACACTGTATGTAGATTGCATAGAATTTCTATTAATTGCAACTCTACGCGAGTTTCCATCATGGACGGTAACGGTATTCTTACCATGTTGGACTTGGATCCGCAAAAAACACCTGATTCACGAGATGGAGATACAGGCGAGGACATATCTAAGTTCGAGAGGAAAGATGTCTGGGCAATGTGTTGGGCGCAAGACAACCCCGCGTTATTGGCAATCATGGAAAAAACAAGAATGTACGTTCTGAGAGGGCTGGATCCCGAAGAACCTATAGCCTGTTCCGGATACATTTGTTCGTTCCAAGATTTGGAGATACGTTGTGTACTGCTGGACGATCTCATGCAGAAACCAGATGAAACGCGGAAAGAATTGATCGTCGACTTAGAAGTGAAGTCTCTAAGAGACACCAGAGAGTTACTGGCCAAGGTGGGCCTGAAGGAAGCTAATAACTTTATTCAGGATAATCCACATCCGCGTCTCTGGCGTTTGCTGGCCGAGTCAGCGCTAACGAAGCTAGATTGGGAAACAGCAGAGAACGCCATGGTGCGATGCACAGATTATTTAGGTATACAATTCATTAAACGCCTTCAGAACGTGCACAACGATCAGCTGAAGAAGGCCGAAGTGGCAGCATTTCTCGGCAACTATGACGAGGCGGAAAAACTATATCTAGATATGGATAGACGAGATTTGGCGATCGCATTGCGTCAGAAATTAGGCGATTATTTTCGAGTGGTGCAGTTGATGAAGATGGGCATCGGTGGCTCGGATAAACAGATGGAACATGCGTTCAACAAGATAGGTGATCACTTTGCCGAAAGACAAAACTGGGAAGGCGCGAAGGAATATTACGAGAAAGGTAGAAATATTGAGAAGTTAATTCAATGCTACTACAAACTGGAAGATTTTCTTCAGCTGGCGGCAACTGTGGACCAATTGCCAGACAAGAGTCCTATTTTAAAGACAGTGGCGAGAATGCTGGCTTCGGTCGGGATGTGCTCGCAGGCAGTGACAGCCTACATTAAGTACGGCGACGTGAAACTTGCTGTAGACACGTGTGTACGTCTGAATCACTGGGATCAGGCCGTGGAATTAGCGAAAACTTACAAAATGGCTCAAATTGGCGAATTGTTGAACAAATATACCAATCACTTGTTATCAAATGGTAAGCGTCTGCAAGCGATTGAGTTGTACAAGAAAGCTAATTACAATTTAGAGGCAGCTAAGTTGTTGCTCAATCTTGCCGAAGAACAAACAAAATCAAAGTCACATCCTCTGCGTGTGAAACAAATATATGTACTCGCAGCATTACTGATTGAAGATCACATTAATAGTGTTCCGGCGATAAAAGGTGGTCGCAGCAATGTAGTTATGGGTCTAACTGAGAGTAACGAAGATACCAAGATCATAGAGAACGCCTGGCGAGGCGCCGAAGCGTATCATTTCCTTCTACTCGCGCACAGACAGTTATACGACGGAAGTTTTGATGCCGCAATGAAAACAGCCTTGCGATTGAGAGACTACGAAGATATTTTAGAAGTAGAAGATATTTACTGTTTATTGGCGCTATCGAGCGCTGTCAATCATGCGTTTGCGACCTGTTCGAAAGCCTTCATAAAACTGGAAGCGCTCGAAACAATTTCCGACGCAAAGAAAGAAGAATATGAAGAACTTGCGGTGGATATCTTCACAAAACACACTCCAAAAGACTCTCGCAATAACAAAGCGGAATGCGTTAACTGCGAAACATTAGTGCCCGATTGGTGCGTCGCGTGTCCTAATTGTTCGACCAGGTTTCCGGCTTGTATTGTCTCAGGTAAACCACTAATGGATCTCAGTACCGCGTGGATCTGCACCGTCTGCAGACATCACGTTGCAACGGAACGCGACGTTGTCAACATAAATGCTTGCCCGTTATGTCACAGCACTATCACATACATGTAAGTGTCAACGATAAATCACCCTAAAACTTTATAATTTATTAAATCTTTGATCCAATTTTATTTGTAAATTAATTATTAAAATTTGAAGAAAAATTTAAATGCAGTGTCAATGTTTCTTACGCACTGTATATATATATATATATATATATATTGTTTTAGCCATAGCGTGAATAGAATTTCTATCAGTTTGTAATATGACGATATATTTAATTGTTTTTCCGATAATGTGTACTATATACACACAGAAATCTTATTATTGTTGACGTCAATAATGTTTTTATCAGAAGTACAAGAACAAGAACTAATATAACAAACAAAAAAATAAAAAGTTACATATATACTCTATTTTCTGCTAAAGCAAATATCGTCGGACTAAATAATAAAATGCAATCTAATGAGAATGTAATTTCCAATGGTTTGCTATTATATATGCATTACCGACGCGCACCTGCTGTTACGTTCAAAATGTAATGAGCGTTTAACGAGTAGATCTTGTTAGTTTCGTCTCGCCCGCAAAGTTTATACAAGTACGAATGTATTATCATCACGCAGTTTTAATATCATGCTATCTGTGCAGAAAAAAAGCTGTTTTCAGTTTGGATTATATACTTTTATAATTGATCTCTTATTATTAAGATATTGTTATTTTAAGTACAAAAAAAAAAAAAAAAACAAAATCACACAGGTGATAAAAGCTCTGACTCCACTTTTTCAAAACTTAAAATTAAAATTATTGGAGTTTATGTCGAATATTCTTAAGATGGTTTAGATTTTCTGTCAATTTTAGAAAAAGTTTTCTCATTAAACCATTTAAAAATCACTTGAAACAAAGTAATTTTAGTTAAATTTGTTACAAGTTGTTACAAGTAGGAGTCAGCTTTACGTCTAGGATAAATATAATCATTTATTAACTATGTGTGGATTACGTATTTATAATTCCGAGCCATTACACTGTTATAAAATACTTTATAAAAATATTTATCTTTATTAAAGTTTTAATGTAGTCGTAAGAGTAACAATTGCAATTATAATGATATAGTGCAAACAATTTATATAAATTAAGATTTAAGTCTGGATTTATATTTTATTTTGAGATAGGTCTGTCACAAATATATTAGGATATATATATATATACAATTTAACAAGTTTTAACATTGAGAAAAAAAAACGTAAGTTGTAAGACACAATTGATTACAACAAAAAGTGCAAGTCACGATTGATCAAATATTGCGTATCGCGCTGCGCGCATCAACGAATTCCGTCCAATCTTTGATAAGTGATACTCATATATAAGTGATACTCATATTCAAGATGTTTTTTTTCATATGAAATAAATAAAGACAAGATTAAAACTTTTTTTTAGTATTGTGCGATTTCTTGCTTTCTAACGGCGATTTTATTTTTCTCTGGCATTCTGAAAATAATCCACTAGTTTACTATTCATCATATCGTCTTATACATGTCAGTAGTATTTTATGAAAATACACAATGAAATTATACATATATATGTATGCATTATATACGCAAATATTAGTTTTACTTTTGCATAGAAAAAAAAAAGCACAAAATTAATTTATCGTCCGCACGTTTCGTTCGATTTTACCAACGGCCGAATTGCACGTGAAAGTTGTGCCGGCACATTGACGCGTGCCGGGAGCACCAATCGCGCACACGCCAAGTTCAAATTTGTTTCCAGCAATAAATGCGCGCCGTGAACACGCGCAGGCGCGCCCTTCTTCGGTTGCATATTTCGCTCCGCTCCACGCTCCAGTGTGTCTCACGCGGGCGGAGGAGGTGGTTCTGCTTCGACTTTCTTTCAACGCACGCGATCGCTTTTCTTCGTTGATCGGTTCGATACCTTTGGGAGACACTCCGATTTCTCGTACTGATAGTAAAGTAAAAAAAAAAAAAAGGTTCTACGCGACGCGAAACACGCTCGAATGAACAAACGTGAGTGTCGTCGTCGCGTCCGTCCCGTTACCGGTTAACGAAAGTACTGCGTGAACACAGTGTGTGTCGAATATAAACGTGAACATACACGCGTGTGTTTTCACACTTTTTGCGATTTTTCGAGCTTTTCTTCCGCTTGTTTTTTTTTTTCATACAAAAAATTTTTTTTGAAAATGAAGAGTGTCGCGCTACTGTGGATTGCTGCCGTGATAATCGCCGTCGCGACAATAACAAATGCCGCCGGTCTCAAGTGCGACAACGTCAGACCGTACTTCGTGTCGCAGGGGTTCCCGATCGACGACATCCCGAAGGATGCGATTCCATGTGAGCAGATATACCGATTCATATATATTATTATTGCGAAAAATATTCTTGAGTCACATAAAAAAATTCTCCAAAATATACAATTTTAGGTTATCATACGTTAATATGAAATAAAATTATTTCTGCATTTGTTTTTCTCAAGTTTTAAGTTTTCTTTTTGCATGTATAATACATGTATAATTGCATTTATATATATATATATATATATATATATATATATATATATATATATAAATGCAATTCTAATATTCACCAAAGACAATCACATACAAAAATAAGAAAGTAATCATAAAATAATATATAACGCTTTTCTACGCTCCTTCGCTCGTGCAAAAACACAACTGTGGCGCCACATACAAGTAGTAGTCATGTATCGAAAAACAATCACCTCTACTTCTTTTACTACTTAAAATTTATCTTTTATATGACGACAACTCAAGAAGACTTTTGACAAAGTTTTTAATTGACAAAATCCAATCGATTCTTTGCTCTGAAAATTCAGCTTCAATCATGAAGTTTCTGTGCCCTAATTGATACATCGAAGTTGAATTTATTGAAGCACCTGAACTTTTTAAACAGTAAGGTCATTTTAGCGACTGGAGAATCCCGTGAATGGCCGATTAGTCATGGGACAATTCAAATCAAACGGCACATATTTTTATGCAAGAATCACACGCAAAGTCGTCATGTAAAATTACGTGAATGATACATTTAGTGGAAATTATTAAAGTTATATTTTTTGATTTCGTAACTTCCGTAAGTACCATTCTGATATGTATCGGAACATATAATTATACGCATATAATTGTTTTAATATTTAAAAAGTTAAAAAACAATATTCCAATTTTATTGATTGTACTTCGAGTAAAGCGATCGATTGCATCGACGTGTTCTATACACATGCCGTTTAATTAAAAGAAATTTACGAGCAGACATGTATCATACGTTATCTATAGATAGAATGCAGACACCAGATAGATAATAACAGGTTAATATTGGCTGATTGGTAATTATAGCACGTAGGCTATTGAACGTTACCGTTGATGCTGCACACCTCGTTTTTTTTTCGTGACCAGCAATTATTGCGCCAGATGTTGAGTCAGTAGGAAAAGTTTTTTTTTTTTTTTTAAACGAAGAACATTAAATACAATTCACAAAACAATGGTTTCGCGTTAAGTGAATTATAAGATCGTAATGGAGTTGAGAGATTTCGAAATAATTTTTGTAATTGTTTCAACGCGACGCACACAGAAAAGACTGCTTTATTTTAGCTGTCGAGGAACGAAAAAATGATGTAAACCTCTTGACAAATTATCGTATCAATATTACGTCACGTAACTATAATTCGCGATACAGATTTGTGCGATATGACTGCTTGTCAATGATTCGGGAGTTTGCTCCGTCATATATAAAAATGTAAATTTACGTTTTTTTGCAATAGACGAGTAGACATAGATAGTCCGGGATCACTCAGTATCACAAAAAGAAGTTAAGACTCCCCGAGTCGAAATTTAGCGTCTACATTGAACCTCAATTTTTCTTTTTTTATGTAGGAGTAAGAGAGAAAGTAGATCCTACTTTGACGCTGCTATACGTTCGAAATTTCCTTTTTTCTCGCTAAAGTTTTAAAGTAGGGTTTAATTCTTAGATCAGACTGCGCATTGCAGGCTCTGATAGGCTCAAAATAGGCTCTGATAGGCTCAAAGTAGAAGTAAGAAAAAAAGTAGATGCTACTTCGACGCTGCTATACGCGTCCGAAATTTCCTTTTTTCAAAAATTGAGGTTCAATGTAGACGCTAAATTTCGACTCGGGTCTTTTTCTTTTTTTGAGGCGGGGATCTACTGACTACTAGCAATTTCTGTTAGAAATTTCTAATTGAAAACTTAATAATGTAAACTCTTTGTTCGTATAAAGATAATTTAAAGAATAATAAAAGAAATAATTAAAAAAATTTAGGGTTTTTTTGCAAAAGGTTTATTATTATTGATTTACGAATTAATGTGATAATTTACAAAGCAATGCTCTGATTAGATTTATTCACTATTCGTTCTTTCGTTTTCGTCAGTGTTCGAAAATCTCGATGAATTTCTGACACAATTTAAAATGCGGCGCTTTTAGGGAACAAATTACTTTAAAGGGGAGAAAATGTATTGTAGGGAACGAAGCGCTGCGCTGGGCTGGACATAAAAGCCGTGGCAAAATCAAGTAGAACTCTGGTGGAAGACGCGCCATTAGTAAAGCTCTCTCTCTCTTTTGCCAACTTTTGCTTTTCACTCTCGTCCACATTTTACCTCCGACAACCACCTCAAAGGTTACGCTTTCAACTCATTTGCGTGCCGCGTAATAGTTGAACTTTTCGGGATCACCTGCAATTTCTGCAATCGTGCATTGCGATCTTCTGTCCGATTTACATAAAAAAAAAAAAAAAGTGCTGTCTGTGACATTTATTTATGAAAAATCATAATTTTATAAATAATTTTTGTTTTTGTTTCTTCTGCCTGTCAGACAAGCGTCGTATAAAAAAATGATATAGATATGTGTAACATATAATTATATAACTGTAAAAAAATTACTTCACTATTTCTTAAATTTTGTTAAATACAAAAATAAAATTAAAAGAGATACATCGCCATATATATATGCTGTCATAATCACATAAATTCTAATGACCCGCGCGGAATTACGATTTATTTTCGCGAACTTCGGCGAGCTGATTTGCGATGTGACCACGTGTGGATTTATGGCCGATGAATTATGTGCTTTGTTCGTTTAAGGGCGCGGAACTTCTCCGATGGAGTTTGAACGGACAAAGAGAAATGAATAAAATTCCATGGGACGTCCATGTGCTAAAAATCGCCGATTCCGCGACGTGTTTTCTCTCGTGCTCTCGTTGATATATGATATGTAATATCTCACACAAGTGCTCCTCAGCTTGCTTGAATATTTTCGGAATAAAAACTCACGTATGTACTTTTGATTAAAAATTTTGAAGAAAAAGATTTTGAAAACGTTTAAAAACTTTTAAAACAAAAATTTGGTAAAAATATCTCCATTATTAACTGGAATCTGGTTTGCGATATTCAATATTATAACGTGAATAGCGAGTGATCATTTTCCGGTGTGTTTAACACGCTAATGCGGCGAGCGATAAAAAAAAGTAAGAGTGTTAACTACGCGCATCCTCTCGCGCGCGGCTTCGTTAACACGTTTTGTGTGTACAACGAATATGTTTTAATTTATGGGCCTTTGGAACTCTCGCGGTGAGGTGTTAATGGCGCGTCCAATGACAAGCCGCTGGGCTTTTATTATGTATGTACGTGTTCGTCCACTGTGTGCACGCGGTGCACAGTGGAAAATCTATATTTGCAAAGGTGTGCTTATTCGCGCGTGCGTTGCGTCTCGCGTCGCGCCGTTTCGCGAAATCCGCGACTCTCGCTATCTGCGCCGCAATCAAACAGAGACTTGTCAGCCTCGGGAGAATATCTGCTCGCGCGAGCGGAAGATAAGAGACACTTACGCGTCGCGTCGACAGAGCATTGCGTTGCATTAGTGCGAAATTAGTTCCGATGCAGAAATATTACCGCGCGGTTCGTGGTTACGTATATGTTTGGAGAAGCAGGAAGTTTACAATTATTAAGTACTTAAATAACGCATTTAAATATTACACTTCTCTATCTGGTAAACGATCTAGTTTATTTATGACGTTTAGTGCATTTAATTTGTGTTTAATTAATAATTAACTGTGTGCGGCAGATTTGTTGCATAGATCTGTCGCATCGTTTTAAATTTGCTTTCTGTGTTTCGAACGATTTATCTTCGTTATCATCGT